AGGCAACCATGCATTATGTATTGACGTACATGGCTTTTTCATTTGGGGGATGCCTAGAAAAATTAAAGTAGGGTACCTAATATTGGGCAACCATTTTACATTGTGGACAAGTTCTATTTAGAGGATAGAGAATTTCTTTTAAGAGAGCTCTCCATTCATTGGTGGAATCCTCAAATTTAATAAATTTCTCATCATGGTGAATGTTAAGAGCCTGTTTAATACAACTGAAAACGCCTATTTGGACTTTGGATGGTGGATTTTAAACATGATAGATTTGTTCTTTCACATGAAAGGGGATCTTTTGATAAACAAGAGTACTGGCAAAAGTGAATTAAAGTGTAACAAGTTTGACTCAAAGTCAAACTAGGACTTTAAGTGAGGGGAAAACGTAGTACTGTATATTTTAAAGTAACATTGGTTTGGTTTGATATCATGATATGTTTATTACTTTCTTATGTACTACGAGTACGTGTAGTATTCTTTGGTCCGATTGACCTAGTTTGACTTCATTTCATGAAAGTGAAATGAGTAGTTGAGAAGAAAATATTTCCTAGCTAAGCTAGTACTGTAGAAGTTAAATATAGTCAAATACTATTAAACTATCGGTTACAAAAAAAAGTGTAACCTCCACTTTAATGAAAGAAAGACTCATCTTTAATTTGATTGCTATAATAATGCATATAAATGCTAATATTGAACTTAACACCACTTACCTATCCGTACAATAAATAACATTTACACAGTATTAACTAGCTCAGTTGACTACATACAACTCCAAACCGTATGACTAACTTAATTATTACGATTAATTTACTTATGGTACTTTAAATTCTGCATCTCAAGTATTTTATTAGTTTTAAATTTACTCTTACCTTCACGTCTTTATTTAATACATAGACATGTATCTTATTTATTCACATTACTCACTACTGAATGTCTAAATGTTACTCTTTTTTCTGTTTCAGAATACCATCTAGCTCTATAAATTGAAACATTCAACATAATTATATTTTTCTAGCTAGTCTATCTTGCTCCAAATATGTGCTTTGACGTGGATTAAAACCAGGAAAATCAAAACATGAGTGCAGCAAAAATTACTTCATGTCCAGCCGTCTCCATTTTTTCTGTGTTTTTTATGATCGTGCTCAGAGTTTGTTTAGTTCATGCTCAAGCAGACGTATTTGAAGTCTCTGCCTTTGGTTGTGACCCTTCCGGAGATATGTGGGATATAACCGAGGTAAATTGTACGTAGTACAAAAGTTCATGAAAGCATAATTTTCATGTAAAATCTTTTTTGTATTGCTTGAATCCCAATTTTTAGGCATTAGAAAGAATTACACATATTAAGAAAATCGGTTACTTGCCTGAATAGGAGTAAAAGGTAGTCAATAATCACAAATAGACTACATTGTTTTCTAATTCACTAATAGGACTAATTATGTGTGTTTGGAGAAATATACCCTTGTAGCTATTGAAATGTTTTAATTCATTATAACATCATAAAAATTAATAAAAAAGTAAAATGTAATAAAAACTAATAAAAAGATTTATAAAACAAAAATTTATTTATTTTAAAAAAATAAAAAACAAAACAAAAATAAAAATAAAAAAACTTAAAAAAATCACCGCCGCCTCTGCCACCACAGCACTACCACCTTCGGTCACTAGAAAAAATGCCACATGCATTATTAATAGCATATTTAATGAAAATTTTGGATTTATCAAAGAGTAATATACCATTTTTGGCATTTTTCAGAAAAATAATGATTTTTTTTACAGAAATGGCATTTTTGTTTTTTTACAAAAATGTCATTTTTTCCACCGGTCGGAGGTGCTAATGCAGGGAGGCAGTACAGGCGATAGGAAAGGCATAATGTTTTTTTAATTTTTTATGGATTTTACTATTTTTATTAGTTTTTAAATTTAATTTTCTTAATTTTGTTTCTAAATTTTTATTTTATAAATCTTTATCAATTTATTACGTAGTATCATTTTTCTACGATTTTTTTTACGATTTTATTATGAATTAAAACATGTAATGATTACTCTTGATTACCTTTTACTCCTACTAAAAAGAGGGGTAAGAATGGATTGGAAAATATGTATGTTTTAAAATAAAAGTAATACAGTTCTATTTTGGAATAAAAACATAAGAAGTCCTATTTTAGATCTTTATCCTAGTTTTACTCCTATTTGGGTTAACGTCTATAAGAAATAAAGAGAATATTGAACAATTTCGTTGAATCTTACATTCTTACTACCTTCATAAATCCAACTAAAACTGAAACACGATAAATTGTTTAGTAAACATATCAAACCAAATGAACTCATGTCATAAATATTAGTGCGATGATTACATAATTCATGTTGTCACATTAGGGTAAATTCAAAACAACTATGTAAAAATCTACTTTTATTATACGTAATATTACTTATATTCCCAATATATTAAACTAGTGTATGTATAATTCACTTATTACTTATGTGACATGACTCAGAGACAAAACAAAGATAACATATCTTACTGTTATGAGTGCCTACTCGATAGTCGATTTTTTTCTAATAAGAAATCCTGATATTAAGTTGGTTGAGAGCGGAACTATAGCATTACAAGGTAAGGCAAGGGTTCCATTTGAGGTTTCCATTAGTGCGGAAACTCATCCACTAAACCGTATAAAACAAGTTTATAATACAGAGAATAATTCCTGTCCGGCCAAGCCGGACAAGAGGCTCGTCCGGCCACCTCAATTTGAGGTGGTTCCCTGTAGTATTTTTGGCACAAATTTGTTGTGTATGTTCCTTATCAAGTCTAGTTCATCCATACCACATTTGAGCAAAGAATTCAATCCGGAAGGTCGTCAAATGATTTTTGCAAGTTAACTGCATTTTATATGTATATTCCGGACCAGTTAACTTGCAAAAATCATTTGACGACCTTACTGATTGAATGTTTTTCTCAAATTTGGTATTGATGAACTAGACTTGATGAGGAACATACAAAAAATGTCTGAGCCAAAAATACTACCTGGAACCACCTCAAATTGAGGTGGCCGGATGAGCCTCCTGTCTGGCCTGGCTGGACAGGAAAAGGACTCTTATAATATTCCATAAATGTCTCAATTATATGTTAAATTAATAACTCCATATATATTCCATATACATTAAATTAATAACTCCATTAGTCTAAATTAAAATGTCATTTGTCTAAGCTATATATGAAACATATAATTCGAGTATTGTCTAAAATCGATCCAACGTTTTCACTCTTTATATGGTTGAACTTCGATCCTCTACGTCGTTTTTCTAGCTCCACCACTAATAACATGGTAGATATATTGACAAGGGCGACTCAATCTTGTTGATTGGATCAACAACATGTTAGTGCTTTTTTACCTTGTATTAATACAAAAGTTCATCAATAAAATAGCCCTTAAAACTCAAGTACTCAACCAAGATCAGATTTCTTGGATTTTAGATTGCTACACACATATAACTATCCCTAACAAGTATGTTGGGAAAATTATTGTAGTCCTTAGTAAAGGCATGGAGGCAAGCATGTGACACCAAAGACGGCATAGTTGTGATCCCAAGAGGGACTTTCTCGTTGAATACTGTGACACTAGATGGACCATGTAACGGTTCAACAACGTTTGTACTTAACGGCAACCTGAAAGCTCCAATCGATATTTCGGAAATGGGAAAAGACTCTCAGAGTTGGATGCTATTTTTGAACATGAAAGATTTATTCATCATAGGGAGGGGGTCTTTTGATGGGCAAGGCACACATTCATGGCTTCAAAATCAATGCAAGCGTTACCTTAATTGTAAATCTCTTCCAACGGTACGTTAGTACAATAAATACTACTTATATTATTATTAATGTTACCGTTGACTCTTGTGTTCACTATTAGTCATGTAACGCTCACTTAGAGATCATGCTCTTTAATATTACATTTGCATATCTCAAATTACAAAGTTTTCCATTAAAATCTATTGTTCCCAAGAGAAAGTTTCATGTTGGCAAGAGCTTTTCTGTTGCGCTTTTATAGAAAAATGGTAAAATCATATAGAAAAAAGCATTATATTATTTACAAGGTTTAATTTGTAAGACAGTAAAGTTACATGAATAATACTACCTCCGTTCCGGTGGACTTTGTCAAGTGCAAAGTAGGTGAGAAATAAGAATAATAAAAACTGTGTGGTTGATATTTGTGTAGAGGAGAGACAAATGTGCAGAACCACAAATTAGTCGCTTTAATAGAAAAGTGACAAAATTTTTTGGGACAACCAAAAAGGCAAAGTTGACAAAGTCCAATGGGACGGAAGGAGTAATAGTTTATGAGTCAATAGATTAAATCAACAAATATCTCATATTTGAGATGATGAATAGTATAATTGAGATCACTAAATTACTTGAAATGATTCATTTTTAATGAGCTCGTGACTAATCTAAAGATGAAATAAAGATCTTTAATTTCTCCAATGCCTTCTATGAACATTTTTATCTTTCAACATGCATTAGTAGGTTCATGTGCATGGTGTTAATATCTTATAAACAATTGATTATTGGTTTTAATAAAATTTATGTATGAACATATGTTTTCATTTTATTTATTTGGCATTGTATGAAGTCTTTGGAGCTCGAGAATGTCACTAATGCACTAGTTGAAGGAATAACATCTATAGACAGCAAGTTTTTCCACATTGCACTTCGTAGAAGTGAGTCTATTCTTATAAAGAATGTTGTAATACAAGCTCCGGAATATAGCCACAACACAGATGGAATCCATATCTCTCTATCAAAAAACATAATCATCAACAAGGCAGACATTGGCACCGGTGATGATTGCATCTCTTTGAGCCAAGGCAGCAGAAATATACATATCTACCAAATCAAGTGCGGTCCTGGTCATGGTATCAGTATTGGAAGCTTGGGTAACCATGCACATGAAGAAGATGTGAGTGACATTCTTGTGAATGATTGCACATTCACAAACACCACAAATGGCGCTAGAATCAAAACATGGGCGCCTTCTTTTCCTTCCAGGGTTTTCAATCTCACCTTTGCAGATATCACTTTAAACAATGTTACCAATCCAATTTTAATCGATCAACATTATTGCCCAAACTCACATTGCACGTCTAAGGTAAATGTTTTATATATTTATTCGTTACATTTCCATTATTTTGCAAGTGTCATGTTTGTTGAAAACAACTTCTTTTTACAGGAAATATATGTACACATATGTACATATATTTGTTTAAAAAAATTAAATATATGTACAAATATGTGTGTTCTTATTTTAAAACAAAATCTTTTGAAAATTAAGTCCATTTTTTAAAAACCAAGACCTATTTGAAGAAATGTGTTATATTTCATATCAACTTATGGAATATTCACTTTATGCTACTCAGTGTGTTATATTTCATCTTTTTGGATGGAATTCATTTAAAATAAAAGTCACATTCAATTAAATTCTAATGAGCAATTCACTCATGGTAACAAAACCTCAACAAAAGCACATGAACTTCAATTTTGTTTACACAATCATGTCATCATCTTGTCGTGGTATGCTAAGTCATTTTCATAATGAAAAAATTACAATTTCACACATAGCTATAATATTGGGTAAACTATGCATTTAAAATTGATATTTTAAAATGAAATTAATCAACTATAAATCATAAATTAGGAAGTCGTGTTTGACTGCCTACGTTTTTTCTAGTTTAGCCCCATCCCCCCACCCTAATTGATTCTAGCGATACCAACCTATGGTGCCCAACACCCTATACCACATTCACTGTATTTCAATGGTGTTTCAAGTGAGTCATACTTAGGCTTGACGATTTAGATTAGCCAAGTTGGTTGTTTATTAAGATATGATAAAGTGAGTAGATAAAGGCTTATATCATTTCATGATTACCGGAAGAATGCCCAATATATTTTGATTGGTCTTTTTTCATATCATCAATTCTAGGCATCATGATCCTCCTAAGTCATCAACACTCATAATTTAATTGTGAAGATAGAAACTAAAAAAGGGACATTCCTATAAATAGTCAATCCTTGTTAGCAAGTTGTGTATTAACATAACATTAGTGTTGATGCAGGGAGAATCACAAGTCCATATCTCTGAGGTCGAGTTCCACAACTTTACGGGTTCTTCTCCAAATAAGGAGGCTGTCATTCTCAATTGTAGCTCACTTATGCCATGTGAAGCTATTATCTTAGGAGAATTGAATATAAGAGACAACCTAGGAGGACCTACCATGCTCACATGTACAAACGTTCATGGAATATCCTACGAAAGTGCATCTTCAATCATTTGTGCGGATAATGGCATTGCTCCAAGTGGTGAGGTGGTTGGAACCTCTCCAGTTGGAAGTATTGGGATGGCCCCCAGTACTCCTATAGGTGCTCCCAGTAGAGAGGTAGGAATTGCACCCAATGGGGTGGAAAAGATTGCCCCATGCAGCAAGGTAGTATATGCCCCGAGCAAGGGAAGATCTATATTGAACTATAGTGGGTAGAAGCATACACTTTATTTATTTTCTACCTTTCAGTGTAACCTATTTCTTTTTAATATTTATTCCACTCTGTATATGGTTAAATCTAGTATTGTGATAACTTTTCAGCCCAGTTTAGCCTATGTTTCTAGATACATCAAAGATGAAACTTCTAAGATTGGTGAAATTCCCACATGTGGTAAGGCCGGGGTTGTCCCTGATGAGGAGAATGTGATTTTTTCATAAATTAAGTGAGCAGGTTACTGGGATTGGATCTCAAATTGTGAGGATGTCATTTTTCACACAAGAGATTGGGGTTGAACTAGGAGATGAGGAAGAGACTTTCTCACACTACCAAAGTGCAAATCACGCAGTTGATAAAGTAAGAGGTTGAAATCAATTTCATTGAGCTCAAAAGGTGGAACTACAAAATAATAGGGTGTCCTCATACCTTACCTAGTGGCAGAGGCGCTTGAGAATTGGATCATAAATAAAATAGAAAGATGTAAAGAGACATGAAAATAAAATAAAATGTTATACATATTAATGTTGTCTTTTTATGAGTTGTGTTTATTGTGCGAGTAATTTAGTAGTTTGAAATACTATAGAAACCTTCAAAAAAAGAGGTGGATTGTGTAGAGTAATTTCATTCAAGTTAGTTGAAAAAAATAACTTCTATTTACTTAACCTAATTATTATACAATTCAACGTGTGAAATTAAAAATTGTGTGTTCAACTTATAAGTCGATTTTAAGTGTAATCACATCTCATGAAATACCCCTCCACCAAGGGAAAATCGCGAGTTCGATCTTCACATTTAATTTGGAATGCAAAACAATTTTAAGATTATATGTAGTCACGAGATTTTTCTTACAATTTATGGAAAAAAATGTGGCACAGAATCACTATGGGAAGTGATTAAGATCCAACATACCATTAAGTTCTTGTAAGAATCACTGAATTGAGAAGAATGCAATATAGAGATAGAAAATTCTTAGTGTATGTACACAAATTGTACACCAACCCCCCTAGTAATTTGTGTACACAGGCAATTCCTTTAAAAAATATATGGCAGGATTTGATACCAAAACATCCATAATTGCCTATGTACAAAAGCAATGTACACATTTTGTGTACATCTTGTGTACACCAATTAAGCATGGCCCTTGCCCATATAACCATCGAGAATGCATCGAGGCATAATGAGTTTACCGATGCCGATACCCATATTAAATTCATTTTAGAATGTTTTTATTTGGACTGTAATATGTCGCAGACCAGACCATATCAGATCGATTCAGACCGGACCAGCAAATTATAGTCCAAGTAAAAACATCCTTAATTATTTATATAAATACTCACAGATTCATTTATATTCTTTAAATTTTTATTATATTAATCAATTGTGTTTAACACCAATTCTTTGACATTAAAGTATTATGAAAATTCCCGAAATATAAGTCAAAAATTGGGTAATGGTATATTTTTATTCGCTAAATAGCTAAATAGCTTTGACTATTATTTTAAAGCCGAATAATGTCCAAATATGACATTAATTTTTTATATTTAAGGAATAAAATTAAGTAATCTTATTTTGGAATTTAGAAAAAAAATTAGTTACTCCAATTTAGGGCAATTTCTTTAAAATATTTATACATTACTTAAACAATTGCTATTTATATTGACGAATAATATCACAACATATCAAATAATCTTTTTTTTATCATTTAAACAAAACAATATTTGTAATTAACTAATCTACTTCACTAGTAAATATTTTCTGTCAGTGTTGGGGTTTTGTACCCTCGTGGTGTTGGAACTTAATTAATTGGAGTATTGGAGATGCTTGAATTCTCCAACAGTCGTGTCTTCATATGAATTTTTCTACATGATTTTCTTTATAGTATATGATGTTTCGGTCTATACACAGTTGTTATTAATGACACTTTTGTTTGTGCTCACAACTAATTCATATAAGAAAGAGTAGTTATACCGTGGGAGCAACCCACCGTGTGCATGGTGCACCCAGGGGGAATTCATGTGTTACTGTTCACGCGCTTGAACATTAACTTTTTTTTTTGTTTTTCCCTTGCCCAACAATTGAGTGATGTAACTCACGTGTAAAGAAATGTAATTCCCGTTGACAAGAAATATAACTACAGGCAAGTTGAAATTTAACTTATGTAATGCGGAGTATAAGAAATCAAACATTGATTTCAATGTAAACAATGAAAACATGGAGTCTAATTTTTGAATTACTTTACGTAGATATGTTTTTTTTAATATTAAGGCCATAGAAATATTTTTTAAAATATTATTTTTTGCCAAAAAACATTTTCTTTGCAAAAAAAATGAATTTTTGTTTCAATAGTTGGAGTTTATTCTAGTATGTAACTAGTGTTATGAAAAATGTAATTTAATTAGATGTACGTAACAAGTGAAAGATAAAGATAAGTAAAATGTCACAAATATATAATTAGATGTAACTCATGCATAATTAGATGTAACTTGCGCATAAAAGTATGTAACTCGCGCATAAAAAGATGTAACTCATAACAAGATGTAACTCACGCATAATAACATGTAACTTGGGCATAAGAAGATGTAACTTCGTATATTATCAAATGTATCTCCATAAATCAAAATAAATATAGTCAATGTCTTAAGAACCTCTAAAAACATATAAAAGCGATAAAAAGTGTATGCATATAAAAGTTTATTACACAAAAAAATGAATGTGAAAAAGATATTACAAAACATAATAATTTTTTTGTTGTGATTTTAGTTGAAGAAAAGAAAAAAGTGCACGAATAAGGATTAAGAGAGAAAGAAAACTAATTAATTTGTTTTGAAAGGATAAAAATTTAATCACAAAATTGAAATAAAGTACATATGTCCGGCCAGTGTTCCTTAGTTAAAAAGAATCATTTGGAAATATGATAGGTTTGGCCTTTTTATTCCAATATTACTAACATAAATGAAAAAGATAAAAAAATGACTTGTTTTAAATTTTTCTTAAAATGTGACTAAAAGTCATTTACTACTTATAATTAACCATATATTTATTTTTAATTATTCCTTTATAGCACCTCCAGGCCACCGACCCCAGCACCACCATTGCCGCCGGCGGCGGCACCGGCGCCACCGCTGCCGCCGGCCAAAGTGACTCCGGCCATAGTGACAGCCACCAAAGTGACTCCGGCCACAGTGACTGCCACCAAAGTGACTCCGGTCTCGGTGACTCCGGCAACAATGACGCCACAGTGACTCCGCCGTTAGTGACAGTGCCGCTACAGTGATTCCGTCCTGCCAGTGGCTGCCGCCGCACATGGCGAAAGTGACTGCGCGTCCACCCACCGGTCACTGTGACCCCAGTCAAAGTGACTGCTCACCCACCACCAAAAGTGACTGTCCGTCCAACTCCGTAAATCGCCGCCACTTTCCGGCCACCGCCATCTGATCCACTTTCCCAACGCCCAAAACCCTCCCCGATCCCCGGCCCCATTTCCGGTCACCAGTCGTCCAGCCCCTTTCCCTGCCCCTCCCCCCGTCCTCCCCCAGACCAGATCGCCCAAAAGCTTGGCCGCCTTACCCCCACCCCCACCACCATGGAACGCTCGTCGCACCCCCACCAGAAGCATAAGCACCAAATCAGAGTCGTCGGCCACCAAAATGGAAGATCCGGCACTGGTGGTCCCAAATTGTAGCCGCCGTCCATCATGGACGACAGATCCGACACCTGTGACATCTGCTACATCAAAGACGACGGCAGATCTGGCCGAAAAAATCGACGGATCTGGCCAAAGACGACATTCTAGCAGCTCAGAGTTTAAATCTTCCTTCCGATCGAAACCTAGGAGGAGAGGGGACGGTGGCGGTTTGAAAAAGAAGAAAATAGAAGAAGTTGATAATCCGAGTTGCAGCGGCGGCGGACGAAATAACAGATGTGGCGGCGGACGAAATAACATATGCGGCGGCGGTGCAGCGGTGACGAGGGGAGCGGTGGTGTCACCGAGTCCTTCATGTAGAGAATGCCGGGGAGGAAGTATACGGTGAGTATTTAATCTAAACTAAAACATTTCGTAAGAGCATATACTTGCATTCGTATATAGAAGATAAGGGTGAAAGAAAAATAACATGTAGCTTTCTTTTAGTGTTCAAAGCATTAATTAGCTTTGGCACATACGTACTTTTCTATTTATAAATCAACATACGGAGGTGGTTACATGACTTACATCCCAAACCCACTACGCACACTAACACTACTCACGTAATACATACGGAGTACCAAACGTACGTACTGGTGCATGGTTACCCACTAATACTAACATAATTAATATAATACTAAATGCAAATAACTAATGTGCAACTTAACTAATTGACTCAAATTAGACTAACACTAATGCAACGGCACATACGCACATTAGTACCGCTACAACATATGCACGGTGTCACGCGACGCACACTACTTGGCATGACTCATCCCGCCGTGCACTAACACTCTAGTCTAAAATGCATCAATGACTCCAAATAAACTAAATTAAACATGACGAAATTATAAACAACAAGATTAACTCCAACACTTCACCGGCAGAAATGAATCGGCGGCGACGATTCTCTCCTAAGCTCCAACTGCTTTGATCTCCCCCTTTCTGTCTGGGTCATTGCGCTGAAACGGTAGTAAGGAGAGGTCATATTTTTCGAAAACTGGGATATGGTCATAATTTTAGAAATGAAGAGTCCGGGAGTCATAATCAGGCCATTATTTCCAAAAATACCTTTCAGATTCAAATTGCGACCTTATCCGGTCTCAAAAGACTAGTATTGGGCTATTGGCTTATTGCGTGTACTGGAGACGTTTTGATTTTACAATGGGAAGAGGGGCTCATCGAGATTTTCCTCATCTTTTAGTTCCACTGAATACCGTCCGATTTCGGATACCCAATTCCTTACATTACTGCCATTTGTGGATAACCGAAAGCAGAGTGGCTCATATAGATAAAACATATATGGCAGGATTTGATACCAAAACATCCATAATTGCCTATGTACAAAAGCAATGTATACATTTTGTATACATCTTGTGTACACCAATTAAGCATGGCCCTTTCCCATATATCCATCGAGAATGCACCGAGGCATAATGAGTTTACGGATGCTGATACCCATATTAAATTCATTTTGGAATGTTTCTATTTGGACTGTAATCTGTCGCAGACTAGACCATATCAGATCGATTCAGACCAGACCAACAAATTATATTCCAAATAAAAACATCCTTAATTATTTATATAAATACTCACAGATTCATTTATATTCTTTAAATTTTTATTATATTAATCAATTGTGTTTAACACCAATTCTTTGACATTAAAGTATTATGAAAATTCCCGAAATATAAGTCAAAAATTGGGTAATGGTATATTTTTATTCGCTAAATAGCTAAATAGCTTTGACTATTATTTTAAAGCCGAATAATGTCCAAATATGACATTAATTTTATATTTAAGGAATAAAATTAAGTAATCTTATTTTGGAATTTAGAAAAAAAAAATTAGTTACTCCAATTTAGGGCAATTTCTTTAAAATATTTATACATTACTTAAACAATTGCTATTTATATTGACGAATAATATCACAACATATCAAATAATCTTTTTTCTATCATTTAAACAAAACAATATTTGTAATTAACTAATCTACTTCACTAGTAAATATTTCCTGTCAGTGTTGGGGTTTTGTACCCTCGTGGTGTTGGAACTTAATTAATTGGAGTATTGGAGATGCTTGAATTCTCCAACAGTCGTGTCTTCATATGAATTTTCCTACATGATTTTCTTTATAGTATATGATGTTTCGGTCTATACACAGTTGTTATTAATGACACTTTCGTTTGTGCTCACAACTAATTCATATAAAAAAGAGTAGTTATATCGTGGGTGCAACCCATCGTGTGCATGGTGCACCTAGGGGGAAATTCGCGTGTTACTGTTTACGCGCTTGAACATTAACTTTTTTTGTTTTTCCCTTGCCCAACAATTGAGTGATGTAACTCACGTGTAAAGAAATGTAATTCCCGTTGACAAGAAATCAAACATTGATTTCAATGTAAACAATGAAAACATGGAGTCTAATTTTTGAATTACTTTACGTAGATATGTTTTTTTTAATATTAAGGCCATAAAAATATTTTTTAAAATATTATTTTTTGCCAAAAAAACATTTTCTTTGCAAAAAAAAATGAATTTTTGTTTCAATAGTTGAAGTTTATTCTGGTATGTAACTCACGCATAATTAGATGTAACTTGCGCATAAAAGTATGTAACTCGCGCATAAAAAGATGTAACTCATAACAAGATGTAACTCGCGCATAATAACATGTAACTTGGACATAAGAAGATGTAACTTCGTATATTATCAAATGTATCTCCACAAATCAAAATAAATATAGTCAATGTCTTAAGAACCTCTAAAAACATATAAAAGCGATAAAAAGTGTATGCATATAAAAGTTTATTACACAAAAAAATGAATGTGAAAAAGATATTACAAAACATAATAATTTTTTTGTTGTGATTTTAGTTGAAGAAAAGAAAAAAGTGCACGAATAAGGATTAAGAGAGAAAGAAAAATAATTAATTTGTTTTGAAAGGATAAAAATTTAATCACAAAATTGAAATAAAGTACATATGTCCGGCCAGTGTTCCTTAGTTAAAAAGAATCATTTGGAAATATGATAGGTTTTGATAATGAAAAAATAAAAGTAAAAAAACGAAAAAATAAAAAAGAAAGAGGGTGGGGGAGTGCACTAGAGAAATAGATCAAGAGAGCTGAGAGCTAAGCAAAAACGAAAAAGAATAAAAGCAACGAGGGTGGAGGAGAACGGTGCTTTATAAAGAATAAAAGCAACGAGGGTCTGGTCAGTGGAGCGTGCGGTTAGAGAGAGAGCTTGAGACCGACTTTTATTCTAGAACGGTGCCGTATTTGGAACCGGTGTACCATGCACATGGTACACCGATCCCACAGTATAATTTGCGTATAAAAAAAAATATTTGTGTAGGCGTGCAAAATTGACGCGTAAAATGAATGTGTACATCTCTCTATACTAGTATTTTTCGGAGTAGACATACTCCTTAGGGCATCTCCAACAAGCACCAACTTCTGCACCAAAATGGTGCATTTGCAAAAAAAAATGCTCCAATAGCCACACCATCTTCAACACCATTTCAACATTTTGGTGGAGTGCCTTTGGCTTTACGCCATATATGGCGTACACCAAATCCAACACCATCTTCTTTTTCTATTGTTTTTAATTTCAAATGTGATCCAAAGTTTTGATTATTATAGTTTTGATCCATTTTTAAAACAACAAATTAGGATGTTTTTACTTGGACTAAAATTTGTTAGTCTGATCTGGTCGGATTTGGTCTGGTCGGATTTGGTCTGGTCTGTTCTGAACTGATTTGGTCTGGTCTGATTTCTTTGTATTTTTATAACTATCTAAGTCTGGTCTAATCCGGTCTGATCTGAGACAAATTACAGTCCAAGTAAAAACATCTATATAGAACAACAAATTAAAATTATTAATTTGATAGAAAATAACAAAATTATAATAAAATTTAAATCGCACAATATTAAGAAAAAAACATAATTAAAATTACAATTAATAACACCATTATAATTAGTGAAATATTGATTATTGTATTTTAATTAGTGAAATGCGTGAAAATACGTATTAAAATGGTGTATTTTAGTTTGTATGTGTGAAATAATGTGTGAAATGTCAAAATATTAAATGAGGGGCTAATGTATAAATATATGATAATTAGATACTTAAATAGAAGAATGATAAAAAGTTAGTAAAAAGAATAAAAAGAGAATATTCCTTTTTGGTGATGAAAAATTGAAAATGGTATAAACTGTTGGAGATAAAATACTGTTTGATGTGATGTTTACACCATTTTAGTGTAAAAAATGGTGTAAACTGTTGGAGATGGCCTTAGAATGTTTTCTTTTGGATTGTTTTCAGTCCAGATCAGATCAGACCAGACTTAAATAGACCTGACCAGACCTGACTTAAACAGACTAGACCAGACTAGACTTGGATAATATAAAATACACAGAGACCAGACATTTACCAGACTAGACCAGTTCAGACCAGACTTAAACAGACCAGACCAACAAATTTCAGTCCAAAAGAAAACATGTCTTATTTTTTTAAGACTAGAGATCCAAAAATATCTTTATTCAAATTACGACCTTATCCGGTCTCAAAAGACTAGTATTGGCTTATTGCGTGTACTGGAGACGTTTTGATTTTACAATGGGAAGAGTGGCTCATCGAGATTTTCCTCATCTTTTAGTTCCACTGAATCCCGTCCGATTTCAGATACCAAATTCCTTACATTACTACCATTTGCGGATAACCGAAAGCAGAGTGAGGGGATAACGGAGGCAGGTCATACATTCCGTTAAAATTCTGATCCCATGTGGCGTTCCAGTTTGACGGCGTTGGGGGCCATTCCTCTGCCGCGTCATTTCTAACGACAACCGTCTCCTCGGCGTCTCTCTCTGGCTTCACGCAACCGTCCCCGGCGGCCTGAGACTCTTCGGTTCTGAGCCTCGAAGCTTCCAACGGGAAGTTCAGAATCGCTTTGCTCCCGCGAATCCTGAAAGCCGCTCGGTCGTAAGCTTTAGCCGCCTCGACTGCGGTGTCGAATGTCCCCAGCCAAGCTCTGCTCCCGCGCCGTTTCGGATCTCGGATCTCCGCCGCGTACTTTCCCCACGGCCGCCGCCTCACTCCTCTGTAGCGTTTGTTCTCCTCCGCAGGCAGCTGGATTTGGACCGTCGTCCTTTCGGCTTGCTCCACCCGAGGTAAATCGATCTTCAGCGGAGGCTTTCTGGATGGGGCTGTTGAATTCTGTTGTATTTTTGGTGATGTCAGATCTATAATTTGAGAATATGATTCGAAGTTCGTGAACTTGTTATCATTTTGCTCGAAATTCATCGGTGAATTTGATTCCAAATCAAGCAGATTCTCTTGAAAATTCAAGGAATTATAATCAAAATCAATGGAATCCTGGCTACAATCGGAAATCGTGAGAGGAAGTTCATAGCTAGCATTTTGAGAGGGGTTAGAGACTGATTGCGAGCTTGAAAAAACTCCAACTGCTGGATTGTTGCTAAGCTGGTTAGCAAAATTGAATGCTTTTGGAGAAAATTCTCCAAGCAGATAGTTTCTGATTTGTTGTAGTGCAGAAACTTCATCAAAGGTCGCCATCGACTTCGCAAAAAACTCAAAATGAAGATGAAGGAGATTTTTCTACAAGAGGAGATTTTTCTCAGTTGCTAATGCTGAAGAAAATGTTAAGAGCGTGAAGGCGGGTCTTTTTGGATGGACTTTTTGAAGAGAATGAGATGCTCTATATATATTGAGAACGACTGACAGAAAAGTAAAGTCAACCACGGACGGATAACCAAAATTTATCCATAATCTACAGTAAAAAAAAAAAGATTATCCATAATCCCAAAATATAATGAAAAATGATATTCCGTATTTGTATCTACTCTTATACTCATTTTTACATTCATAAAGTTAAAGTTAAATCTCATTCACAGACAAAATATGTCTTATTTTGCCTGTGCAAGTTTGCAAGGGCAAAATAAGACATTTTATCCGTGACAGGATTCACAGAAAAATAGTCTTCACAGAATTGTGCATAAGAATGAGTATAAGAGTGGATATGACAATAAAGGTTGAAATATAATACCCCTCTATCTCATACTCCTTCACCTCTTATCTTAAATTTCATTTTAGCTTTTCATATTTTCTATTTAGTTTACCTCATACTCCCTCCATATTGAAATAATGAAATGTATGTTACACTTCCATTTTTAGGATATAGTATAATTTTTCTACATTTTTCTTCATGAGAAGTTTTCTTCTAAAAATTAATGATTACCTTTGTATTCTACATTTTATGTTTTCTTTCATAATTTTTCATTTTCTCTTACTTTTTCTACATTATTAATTAAACTTACCATCTTTCACTTAAATATTATGTAAAACCCTGTTATAGCAAACATTTCAATACGGAGGGAGTACAGTATTTTGATTACATGTGCTGGTTATCTTTCGCTCTTACTTTACTTACAATTTACTAATTTAATACCAATCACACAATTCCACTTCTCTAAACAACCACACAATTGGCTCTTGTCCCATTCTTAAGTGGTTGGAGGTGATTGCGGCCCATTGTGACCAAAATTGTCGAGTTTGATAGAGGGGATTCAGGAAATTTTTTGTACCCATAGATGAGATGATATGTTGTATAGTATAAGAGTAGCTCTCAAGCAAGGCACTTATCATAGTCTGATGATACTAGATGGCATATAAAAAAAAGTAAGTTTTTGTTTTGTTGCGGCAATAAACTGATCAGTATCAATAACATAACCTACAAGGCGAATGTTGAAAAGAGTTGAATGGTTCTAACACTGTTGGAAGTGGTGAGTTAGGTGAGGAAATGTATTGTAGTTGTATGGGAGATAGCATGGATACTTCAAGTAATAGCTATTGTATGAAATCCTTGATCGAGTTGAGAAAAACTGTGCACATTTGAGTATAGCAAATTAGATAATAAATACTTGAGTATGTTTAGAGGTAAGGAGATAAGCTAAAGAGATAAACTTTCTTAACTAATTACAGAAATTGTAGAGAGGCTAGTAAATAAGACAACTAAGTGTGTACAAATGTGTGCATAAATAAACATGAGCAATAATAGTATTATGCTAAATGTAACATTCATTAATTATGCACATACAATAACATCCAAATGCATTTTGCATAAAATCATCACGAATTACAAAATTCACGAAAATATCTCTTGCAATTTGAGAAATATCAAGAACATTTGAAAAGTTGTTTTCCAAAATAAGAAATATTATACTCACACATTGTGGAATTCTAAAATGTTATACGTTTATACTTATATAGCTATGGGACATTTTCTTGGTACAAGTTCTTTACACTTTTTACACACAATATTTATATCCCTTTTTTTCATCTTTCCCTTTCTCTCGCACCACATCTGGTGCTTTCTCTTCCACACCCCCTTCCATTAACAACATTAATTTATTTACACTCATACAAACAACTTTTGTCTTGGGAGAAGGTTTTATGTGAAAGCTATGATCATTCATCACGTTGACAATTAACTGATAAAGCAAACTCGATCGAAATCCCGAATCTATGAAAGTTGAAACTGACTCAAAACAGATCAAATCATAGTCAATTTGATTCACGGTTTGAAATTTGAACTTAGAAAAAGAGCGAACATACAAGTATATCAGCCCAACCGGTTGTGAAGTTACCGATGCATATGTAAAGTCTCGTGTTAGAAACCCGCTATGCACCAAGAAAAGATGAAGGAGGTCTTGCTCCCAATGATTCTTCTTACCTATCAACAGAATGAATGAACACCCCTAAAGTTTGTTTTTGGTAGCACATTTTTTGGATTATGAGACTTCCAACCTTCTTTTTTATCAAACATGTAATTTTTTATTTCACATTCTTAGAATATTTTTAGTTAAATTGAAATTTAGTAGTATGACATGATCTGATAAGGTAAATAATGTGTTATTTTGTTTCACTATTGTCTAAATATGATCTGGTCTAAAAAAGCAAGGGTGAATTCGGAAGAAAAGTTCTCCGTGTAGTTTCCTTAAATCTTGTGCCCATATGCAAGGTTGCATTTAAAACCGAACGGAGAGTAGTATTTCTTATACAATTCCACGGATTCAATAAATTCAACTAATTCAACAAATTATTACATGACCTTTTACCGGCTTATCCTTTTACAACAATGTTTGATGTACTCACTTTTATACTCACCTTATACTCACCATGTTTGTGGAAGTTTTTTTTGTCTGTGAACCCGGGTTCACATACAATATTTTGTCTGTGCAAAATATTGTCTGTGAACCGGGGTTCAAAAACAAAAAAAAAAACATTTCAAAAACATAAATGTGTACAAAAATGAGGATAAGAGTGAATAGAAAGATCATTTTTTATTCTTTTAACAGTGATTTAAATGAGATGGAGCGAGAACGTAAGTACTAATCCCACAAGAGTAATTCCCACAAGAGTACTAATAACACTGATTTCACAAACATTTCTACTTTGATTATTGAGTATCGGTCAAATGTCAGATGAATGAGTAGAAATGTCAAAACAATCAACTCTACGGAGTATATTATTGTGTCAGTCTCTGATAAGATGCTGTTAAATTCACGATTTGTATCACTAATTACACCTACAATGGTCTATAGGCGTAATGGAGCGCTCACAAAAACTGATCATATTTAAATATTCAATTTTAAATACCTAAAATGTCAAAGCCAAATAAATATTCGAACATATCCTAGTATATTTTTGTTCCCAAGGTGTATGTTTTATTTGAATAACATGTTCCAATGCAACTTTTATTTTAAATAACATTTGCATCATGAAATACTTGGTGGACTAAACATAAAATTTTCTAGTTTAATAAATGAAATGGTAAAAAAAAAAGTGCATATTTTACCCATCAGCCGTAACGCCGGCAAAAAACAATTTATTTACCTAGCAGGAAATCAACTTGATACCTAAGTGGATTAGTGTAGGTAAGAAGCCAGTTAACCCAATGACCCAGCTTAACCCAACGCCAAGTTTGACTTGGTCTTCATAACATGGCACGTGACTACGATTGCTGACTTGCGGGTTAGTTTTGATAGTATGGTATTCAATGCCAATTATTGCTGCTCAATTCGTCCTAGTTTTGACTTGGTCCTACAGCATTTTAAACAAAAAAAATGTCAATTTTTCCCTTTTTGTCAAGAAATATGTGTTCCTTATCATTTCATTTTTTTCTATTCAAATCTTACCCGCAATATCTACTTTTCAACCACTTTATTAATAAACGTGTCAAATTGAAAGTGGACAATCAATATAGGACGGAGGTAGTATTTATATATATAGTCAATTTATGATTCATATTAGTACAACAAGTTTTTAAAGAGTAAACAAAGTCTTTTGTACATAGACATACTGAGTATTTTTTATTCACCCATGTAAGAAAATTCTGTGCTTTTGTGTTTGTGAGAACAAAAATATTGTTTCTTCGTATAAATTCAAATGCTCTAACAGGCAAAACGCATATTGAGGAAATGAGCAAGTATAACTGGGGTTTTTATGTTTCTTTGTATGAATATTATTTTACAAGTAAGTTTATAATTTGAATATATACTTATCATGGGTATTTTAAATGCTTAATTGAGATGTAATACGTATGAGTTATGACCAATTAAGACTAAGAGTTTATATACTCCGCTAATCCTTTTTGAATGAGTACGTATTATAAGTATGATTTTGAGGGTGTTTGGCAACACTGTTTTTCCGCTTATTAGGTTTATCAATCAACTTTTTCACCAAACACATAACTTTTGTTTTCACGCGTTGAATTACTAGTATATAATAAGCAGAAAAAGTAAGCTTTGAGTTACTTTTCTGGTTGTATTATATTGGTTGAAGTTACTGTAGATGATCATTTTAACTATTTTATATATAATTTTTTCTTTATTTTATTAAAAAAAATATTTTTAAAATAATTTTTTCTCATATCAGCAGAATCAACCAATACGGCCACTTCAGTCAGAACTTCATAAATTTCAGTAGAATCAGCCAAACCAACCGATTTTCGTGCTATCAAACGGACTCTTTGATTTTCTATGTAATTTACGAATTTTCTATTGACTTAAATGCTTACGGACTTTTTGTATTCGGGATTTATAAAAGTTTCTGTTAAAGTAGGCATTATTTGTTACTCCGTACATGCCTGGATTTTCAGGCCTCTTCTTTTTAATACTACGTAGGAAGTATATTAAAATTAAGATTTGAAAATGACTGGATTTACAGGCTTCTTGTGCAAGTCAACATTGGCCAACGATTTTGGGACGGAGGTAGTATATTATAATTCAGATTTACAATTTCAATAATCAATTATCATTGAAGTTTATACTTTCACCCGTTTGGTAATGTTTTGCCAGTGCACTAGTTTGATGCATGACCTATGAATGTCGTACGGTAGTTTATTCATGTTAAAGAGTTTATTTACTGTATGTATTAGTAGCAACTAGCAAGCGATGTCATTAGATAAGAAGATACTCCGTATTTGACTAAAATTACTCCCTCCGTACCGAAAACAACTTCCCGGTTGGACTTTCACACACTTTTAAGAAATAAATTTGACTTTACTGTAGAGTGCACTGTTTTGCACTGTTTAAACACTGTTTGGCACTGTTTAAACACCGTTTGGCACTGTTTAAACACCGTTTGTCACTGTTTAAACACTGTTTGG